CAGCATTCAAAACTCCCAGCTGTTCTGTTCCTGTAAAGATTTACTGCCTCGGAAATCCTGTACCAGGTCGCTCTGAGTCGGAACCGACACCATGGCACATAACTACCACCATATAATATGCATATATGTAGTTTGTTGCTAAGTGCTGTTGACTCGGTTCTGACACACAGCAACCCTGTACAGGAATTCCAAGAAGTGGAAGGTGGGTTTGAATTGCCGACTCTGAGGTTCAAACTGACCTTTCAGTATAGTGCTTATCCTACAGCACCACAACAGGGCTCCATATGTATATAAAAAAGCAAAGGTTACTAAACATGCAAACAAGGTGTCACAAAACCCACACAATAAAACTTTATAAATAGGCTCCTCTTCTTCAGAGGTTATTTACTACTTTTTGTGAATAACTGTGTGAACTCAAACAGTATAAAAACTTATTGCAAAGAATCATCTGTACTTATTTTTTTTTAATAAGTTAATTCATGCACCCAGAACAAAATTAAATTAAAAGCAAGTTTTCCTTTCCAGTAGTGATCGCTGTTACCCATTTCTTGTGACAAAAATTTTATTTCCTAGATTGAAACAAAGAGCCCTGGTGGCACAATAGTTAAGTGCTCAGTCACTAGCTGAAAAGATCAGTGGTTCAAACCCACAGTGGTGCCTTAGGAGAAAAATCCCCAGCAATCTTCTCCCGTAAAGACTGTTATTGTTAAGTGCTACTGAGTCAGTTCCAACTCATAGCGATCCTGTATAGGGTTTCCAAGGAATGGTTGGTGGATTTGAACCATTGACCTTGTGGTTAAGCTGTCTAGTACTTATCCTACAGCATCACACCAGGACTTCAATTACAGCCCAGAAAGCCTTATGGGCAATTCTACTCTGTCATGTGGGTTGCTATGAATTGACAATCAATTAAAGGAACCTAATAACTCTGTCAGGAGGTACCAGTCACTAGAGAAGGATATCATGTTTGGTAAGATGGAGGGTCAGAGAAAAAGAGGAAGACCCCCAAGGAGATGGATTGGCCAAGTGGCAGCATCGATGAACTCAAGCGTGGCAACTGTAGTGAGGTTGTCCCAAGATCAGGCAGTGTTTCATTCTGCTGTGCATAAGGCCACTATGGGTCAGTACTGACTTGATGGCACCTAACAACGACAACAACAAATAATAACTTCCACAACAGACTGAAATAGTTGAGAAAAAGGAGGAACATGCCCTCTGACAGGCAGGAGAAGACTGCAAAGTTTTAAAAGTGAGGCTGAAAATTCTCAAAAACCATAGCAGTTTGCAGTAATTTCAAAAAGAGGCTAAAAGCCTAGGGCTGCTAACTACAAGGTTGGTGGTTCAAACCCACCAGCTGCTCCTTGGAAATCCTATACAGGGTCGCTATGAGTCGATGGCACTAATAGCAACAACAATAATATTTCACTAAGTCTAATGTGTTCTATTAAGGAGCTCTGGTAGCGTAGTGATTACGAATCAGGCTGCTAACCTCAGGGTCAGCAGTTTGAAACTACCAGCTGTTCTGCGGAAGAAAGATGAGGCTTTCTGCTTCGGTAAAGATTTACAACCTTGGAGACCCTGTACAGGGTCGCTATGAGTCAGAACTGACTCCAAGGCACATAACAACAACAATAACAATGTGTTCTATTACAGAGACAATCTTTTAAGTTCTTTACCAATAAATATAAAGTTTCAATTCTTTTGAGTACACTCTTTAAAAGTTAACAAAAGATCAAGAAACTAAAACGAGGTTGTTGTGGTTACGTGCCATCAACTCACTGCTGACTCATAGTGGCCCTGCATAGGGGAGGTATCAGTATCAAAAACAATTTTATGTAGTATTTCACCTCCCAGTGATATTGGTAAAATAAAAAATAATTAGGCGAAACAAATTGCGCAAAAGTGTTCTCAAAACTTGCAGCTTCTCCAGTCTCATGAAATTAGCAACTGGGCTAATTTATACAGAAAGTTCATCCTTTGTATATAAATTGTTGTCTTAATGACATATCAACATAGTAAGAACTTATACAGTAATTGAGTGATGCAGCATTTGGAAGACAACGCTTACAGGAATCCAGTTTCTACTCCCAAAGCCTCTAGGCTAGGGATGGAATAGCCAATTATCTTTAGAGACAAGATTCTGGTTCTGTGATTACAAACAGGAAAAACAGCAAATTAGTCAAACAGAAAACAGAAATTAGAGGAAGGCAAAGGCCTAGTTCCCTAACCTGGGAGTAAACAGAAAAAGCCAATATACAAGCAGTCTCCATGTTATGAGATTAGTTCCTATGTGTCCTTAAGTTGAATTTGTAGGTAAATAGGAACAGGTATATTCAGTTCTTCTTTAGCATTAGTTTTGTGCTATGTCAGCAGTTTGAACCCGAACCCAATAGCTACTTCCTGAGAAAGATGAGGCTGATCTGTTCCCATATTTAGTCTTGCAAACCCAAAGGGGCAGTTCTACTATACCCTACAGGGTTGCTGTGAGATGGAATTGACTTGACAGCAGTGGTTTTGGTTTTTCGGTTTTAGTGCAAGAGAGGAGCCATGGTGACTCAGTGGCTAAAGCAATTGTCTGCTAACCAAAAGGTTGGTGGTTTGAACATACCAGCTCTCCAAGGCTTTTCAATGGTTTAAAAGTTGCACTTGTAACAAGTGAAGGTGATTGTGATAAAGAATTCATTGCAAACAGGTGTTGGTTCAGTGGTTTCAAAACACGGGCAAATTTATACGCTAAAGGGCAAATACAAGTAGGAGTTAACTGTATGTAAGTCCTGCAGAGCTAAAGGAAAAAGCGATGTACTCCAATTATAGCAACTCCTCCCTAATACAAAGATGCTAGATCAACAGGGAGTAAGAAATCATAAACTACTGATAAGCAATCTAACAACCAGAAAATCCAAAAGGGGAAGTCCAACTCTACCTGAGACACTTTAATCAGATTAATATATACCTAGGCTGGCAGTTATAAAGCTGCCCTATAGGGTCACTATGAGTTGAAATCGACTTCCCAGTAAGCAATGGGTTTCGGTTGGTGAAAGAAATTACAAAGCTATTTTCCTGAGATTCCAGCATTAGACAACAGTGTCATCACGACACTGAAGAAATCATGAAGAGGCAACATCCTAAAAACCACGGCATTCTACCATCGCTGTTGTTACTGTTAAGTGCCGTCAAGTCGGTTCCAACCCATAGTGACCCTGTGTAAGAGCGGCTGGTGAGCTTGAACCGCTGACCTTGCATTTCAAACTGACTTTGCAGTCCAGCTTATTAACTTACAGCGCCACACCAGAACTCCAGTCTACCATTACTGCCTTTCAAGATTTTTAAAGACCTATGTCCTGGTGTGGCGCTGTAGGATAAGCATTGAACCTCAAGTTAGCGGTTCAAACTCATCAGCTGCTCCTCGGAAACCCTATACAGGGTCGCAATCTGTCAGGAGCGACTTGACAGCACTTAACAATAACAACACGTCCTGGAGTGGCGCTGTAGGATAAGCACTAGTTTGCTAACTGCAAGGGTGATGGTTCAAACCCACAACCCTCCCCTCGGAAATCCTATACAGGGTCGTTATAAGTCGGAAACGACTCGACGGTACTTAACATCAATAAAGTAAAGTATGACTCTGAAAATAAACTGAACAAAAGTCCATAAGGGAAATAATATACACTGAAATACTCTTTTCAAAGCGCTTTCACTTCCAACTTTTCTGACCCTTCTAGCAGCAGGTAAGGAAGTTAGTGTAATTTGTTGTTAAGAGGTAAACTGAAAACACTAAAGGTTCCCGGTCCTAACCATACGAACAATGAAATTAGCAAATAGTTGGAAAGAGTTGTTGTTGTTGTCGTTGTCATGTGCCGTGGAGTCGATTCCGACTCATAGCGACCCTGTACAAGGTTTCCAAGGCTGTAAATCTTTACGGGAGCATAACGCCTCATCTTTTCTCCCGCGGAACAGCTGGTAGTTTCGAACTGCTGACCTGGTGGTTCGCAGCCCTATTCGTAACCACTATGCTACCAGAGCTCCTTAACATATCTTAATTCGTAAGGTAATATATGAATAAAAAGCTTGATAAAAATGTCTTTAAATTTTAACACTATTTTTAATCTACAGAAACCAAACCAAAACACTGAAACCTTACTTACAAGCCTCAACCTGCAATAAGAACGAGGACTCGGAGGGCTGTGAACCACTTAAAGAGAATCTACCCTATGGCACAAACATCACAAATCAAAATACACGAGAGTTTTAGGAGGGTAAAGGAGCTCTGGTAGCTTAGTGGTTACAAATCGGACTGCAAACATTAAAGTCAGCAGTTCGAAACCATCAGCTGTTCCGTGGGAGAAAGATGAGGCTTTCTGCTCCCGTAAAGATTTACAGTCTCGGAAACCTCGGAACCGACTCCACGGCACATAACACAACAAAGCTTAGAGTGCGGGTGTCTTGGGAGGAGAGGTGGATCGCCAAGAACCCTCCCTAACTCTACGAGGGCGTTCCCGAGGGGCTCAGTACAGCTCAGCACCTCAAGAGCTCACTTGTGCCTAAAAGTGGGAAACGACACTGATTTTCCATAGCTGGCTTCTCCAGCAGCCTCAACCACCTCAAAGCCACTTCTCTCTCGGATGCAAACTCCTGAAAAAAACGTGTCCAAGTCACTACGGAACTCCTAAAAGACCACGAACCACTTCGTTCTTTGTATGGGGGGGCGGTGGATGCGAGAGAAGCTGCCCAAATCAGCAGAAAGTGCGGGCTGACGTAGAGAACCAGCGGTGCTGGTGGGCACCTTTCCCCTAGGGTGGCGCCGCGCCTACCTCCACTGAGGCTGCAGGGATCCGGCGGAAGCGATGGGCAGCGGGGAGACGAGGGTCGCCCCGCCCAGCGCAGGGACCCCACAGCGCTCGCACGGGCCGGGGAGACAACGCAAGAGGGCTGCGCGGACCCTCTTTCACCCTCTTCCCAAGCGGACACCCAGCCCCCCTTGCCCAGAGCCCAAAGTCCACCTTTGATGCCGGCCATGGCGGTGACGTCGCTCCTGGCTCCAGGACCCGAGGCAGCGGCGGCGGCGGCAGCCGGGAGACCAGAGACGCGAAGCAGCCGCGAGAGACAACACCCGGAAGTGCGCGACGAAGCACTTCCGCCGCCAGCTCGCGCTGGCGCGGCGGTTATCCGGCCAACTCCTTTAGGTGGTTGGTGGTCTTGGCGGTGTTTCAGTCTCTGCACGGTTTTGGGAAACTTGCGGGCGCCAGCCATCAGTCATGCAGAAGCTCCATTCGGAAGCCCCCGGCTCTTATCACTAAACCAACGCGTTTTTTGAAGGGTACGCGACTCGTCGCCATCCTTTGGAAGACGTTAATCGATTTCTTTTTAGGTTAATTTCGCCTTCTTAAAGGCATGCCATTTCCACCCCCACCCCAGCTTTGTAATAAAGGAGAAGGAAGGCTAGATCGGTAGTCTGCACCAGGCTCTTCAGTTTTCCACACAGAATTAGGTTCTAATGCTGGTCAAGTAGTGGACCCAAGGAAAGGGTGTAGCAAGGGTAGTTTTAATGCAAGTCCAATCCCTAGGAAGTCTGAGAGCCTCTAGCTACTTCATAATGACAGGTTTAGAAACAACAACAAAAAAGCAGAAACCCATTTAGTGATGATATAGCGCTGTAGGATAAGCACTCGACTGCTAACTGCAAGGTCAAGGATCTAAACCCACCAGCAGCTCCTCGGAAACCTTATACAAGACAGAAATTTGTTTGAATACTATGTGCTAAGAACGGGGTTCCACTCAGGTGAGAAAAACCAGGCATGGTTTCCGCCTTTGAAGGAGTTTACAATCTAGTGAGGGAGACAGACACAACAATTGTGATAACTAATAGGAAAGACATGTATCAGATCTTAGTTTGAAAGTCAGGAGAAATTTTCTATGAAGAAGAGAAAACAGATCAATAGGTGTGAAACAATAAGCAGGTGAGAGCCATCACAGGAAGGAGGTGGTATGGAGTTGGAGGCAGGCAAGGAGGCCAGTGGTTTTGCTCAGGGGTGAGGATGGGGCAGCATGGTTACACAGCAAGGTCCTATATGAGGAGTTTTGTTTTTTACGCTAAGCAATGAGAATTTTTGAAGGGTTTCAAAAGAAGCCAGATGGAGGTGGGTGACATAGATATTAATTTTTAAATCTCTTCAGTCATAGGATTAAAATAAACTACATATGAAGATCTTGCTGAATGAATAGTTGGAAGAGATATTTCTAACCTAATTTAAAATGAGAGCTACTAAGAAACTTAAAATATTGTTCTCCTATTCCCTCCATTACATCTGGGCTCACATTACCTTTTTTAAGTGGTCATATCTCGAGGTTTTTTGTTGTTGGGTGATACATAATTGATTCCACTCAAACCCCAAGTGGCTGAGCAAAACTGCCCCATAGGGTTTTCTAGCCTATAAATGAGAAGAAGGAACGTGGAGTCAGGTTGCAGGAAGACTCATTAGCAACCTCTAATATGCAGATGACATAACCTTGTTGAGAGCGAAGAGGGCTTTAAGAATTGTGGTAACAAAAACATGAGGCATACTTGAACATATGTCATGGGCATGTGTGTTTCTTAGACAGTCTGTGAATCACCAGCTCCCTTCCTTAAATTATTGAAGCAGGCATACAAATCTTCCTCCCCAACTGTCTGAAAAGGAATAAGTACAATTATGGGAGAAGTAAATAATTATTCAATTTCAAATGGCCCCCACTAACACACTTTTCTATTTTTTGAGAGCAGGGATGGGTGAGGCGACAGAACAGATCAATGGGGGTGAAAAGTGATAGATTTATCACTTAGGCTCATAGCTTGACTCCTGTGGGACAGATCACCTTTTGAGAGGTGGCTTCCACATGTTACAGTGGTTAAGTAGCATTCCCCTAATTTTTTCTTTTGAACACAAATAAATTGGACACTCTAGACATTATTCTTTGATGGCATTAAATGGACAATTGGGTTTGTTCATCTAATTTGATATATTTTCCTCACCTTCCATAGTCACAGAATCCTAAGGGATTCTTTTCCTTTAACTTTTCCACGAGATTCACAATGTTTCTAGTAAGAAAACATGTAGGACCCCCTAAGGACTATTTTTTGGAGTTCTGCTCTAGTGCTGTAGGATATGCACTGGACTACTCACCTCAAGGTCAGTGGTTCAACACGCCAGCTATGAGCAGGAACCTACTCAGTGACACTTTACAACAAACAGAGACTTTGGTCTATAGATGCTGTTGAGGGACCAACCATTTGAGACTTTTAAAAGTGTTTGTGGCAGGATTGCAGGGTATACCCTTTGGTTGGTTGATGATGCATGAAGGGGATTGTAACCATGGCAAGGAGACGATAGAACGAATGTAAAATTAATGTTCTCCCATGTAAACTATCACATAATTCACAATAAAACATTTAAGAAAAAAAAGAAAGACTAGGAAATCTAATTATATTTTAGAATAATGAGATTCAAAATATCCTTATGGTAGCAATTCTAGACTGTAACAGTATCTAGTACAGTTTCAGTTCTTGATATGATAGTATTGTTATTATTTGCAATCTTGTTTGAAGCTATTTGTCCAGCAATTAAAATATATTGACAATAATAGCCTTTCACATTTGTTTTGGTTATAAATTGAGTTTTAAGGTATGAGTTTGCTGCAAATTTCAAGGTCAGCAGTTCGCATCTACCAGTCACTCCAAGAAGGAAAGATGAGATTTTTCTGCTCCTGTAAGGATTTACAGCCTTGAAACTGTATACAGGGTCACTATGAGATGGAACTGACTCCATGGTACACAACCATCACCACCACCATGACTGGAAAACATTTTTATGTGACAAAGTGGCCATGTTGCATGTGCAGCAGTTGTATGATTGAGTAGCACATTAGTGTTTAGCATGGAGCATCATACACAGCAGTCATTCGGAAACATGTCCAAACACTTACATCATGATTTGGTTCTGAATGATGATGAGTCATAACTGGAAATGACTCATTTTGCAATTTCACCTTTTTTTTCTAGGAATTGGTGTCCACCTCCTGGTAAAAGGAGACAAATTTTCTTAGTCAGTTTCTACGAAGACAATATACCAGGTCAGGCAACAATGTTATATGCTGCCCCCCTTCCCCACCTCAAAATAGCCAGGCTTTTAACTATAATTTTAAGTTGTTGATTATATATCATTTCATCATAAAATATAACAACTTTTTAATAGAAACACTAACATGTTATATCTGAGTCCTGCATCCCACCCTTCATATCTTTGAAATTATTATTATCATGTTTGTGCATAGAATTCTGATTATAATAAAGCTTTTAAAATATCTAAAAAAAACTGTTTACAAAAGTTGTATTTCAAAGATCACCTAAAGCAGAATCCTTTGGAGTGCTTCCTCGAAATGAAAATTCCTAGGCTCACTCCACATCTTCTGAGTCAGAAATTCTGTGGGTAGGGCCCAGGAATCTGAAACTTTTAACAGGCACATTCTTCGTTATTTATCTTGTGCTGCTGTTACAGAAAAGCCACAATGGGTGACTTTGACTAATAGAAATGTGTTTTTCTCTGAGTTGATTGGTGGTGATGGTGGTGGTGTTTATGTGCTGTGGAGTCGGTTCCGACTCATAGCGACCCTGTAAAGGGTTTCTGAGGCTGTAAATAACTCCCCCCCCCCCTTTAACTTTGTGTTATGAATTGAGTGAAGATTTGCAGAGCAGATCATCAGTTTTACATTCAACAAATCATATACTTCATTTCATTACAATGATTAAAATCCCCTCCTTGTACCATCAGTTAACAGCATTTACTTCTGTATTCATTTTAACTTTCTTACATTCCTCCGTGTGTGTCCCACTAACTTCATCTTGCCTGCCAACCTCTCATTGTGTATTGCCTTCTTTATTACCTAGCTTTCCTGGCATGGTGCTGCAGGTTAATGCTCTGGCCTGCAAGGTCAGTTTGAATCTCAAAGTCAGCGGTTCTAGCTCACCAAACCGTTCCTTGGAAACGCTATACAGTGTTGCTATGGGTAGGAATCAACTCAATTGCACTTAACGACACCCTCTAGCTAGTGAATAATTTTCTCTTTCCTCACACTCATGCTAACTATTTTTGTTTTATACTTTATTGTGAATTGCATGAAGGTTTACAGACAAGATCATCAGTTTTATATTCAACAAATCATCTACTTTGTTTCTTCTCAATGATTACAGTCTCCTCCATGCAACAAATTATCCTGCTTCCTCCATGTGCTTCCTATTTGTACTCCACCCACATCCCCATCCCTTCTCCTCTTTGTCCTTAGGTAAATGTCACCTTTTCTATTGACAACATTGTGGACATTGAGTTTTCCAGGACACTTACTTGTGTTCATGTAGAGCCTGTACAGAGACCAAGGGGACACTGAATGATTTAAAATTAGGAGATGTTTGTGCCAAGATCATAGATTGTATTCATTCACCATTCTTATTCAATCTGTATGCTGAGCAAATAATCAGAGAAATTGGATATGAAGAAGAATGTGGCATCAGGATTGGAAGAAAACTCATTAACAGCCTGCATTGTACAGATGATACAACCTTGCTTGCTGGAAGCGTAGAGAACTTAAAATACTTACTGATGAAGATCAAAGACTTCATTCTTCCATATGGGTTGCACATCAATGTAAAAAATAAACAGAAATCCTCACCACTGGATTATAAAATAACATCATGATAAATGGAGAAAAGATGAAAGTTCTCAAAGACTTCACTGTGCTTGGGTCCACTATTAACAATCATGGAAGCAGTTGTCAAGAAATCAAATGAAATATTGCATTAGGCAAATCTGCTGCACAGGACCTTTTTAAAGTAGTTAAGAACATTGACATAGTTTAAGGATTAAGGTGCACCTGACCAAAACCATGGTGTTTTCAATAGCTTCATAAACATGTGAAAGTTGGACAGTGAATAAGGAAGACCATAGAAGAATTGATGCATTGGAGTTATGGTGTTGGAGAAGAATATTAAAAGTACTATAGAATGTTCGAAGAACAAACAAATCCGAGTTGGAAAAAGTAAAGCCAGAATGCTCCTTGGAAGCCAGGATGGCAAGACTTTGGCCGTTTCTCATGCTTCAGACATATTATCAAGAAAGACCAGGCTTTGGAGGAGGACATCATGTTAGGTGAAGTGTAGGGATCAGCAAAAAAGACTTCTAGCATGATGGATTGGCACAGGGGCAGCAACAATGGGCTCAAGCTTAATCATGATTGTGCAGATGGCGTAGCACTAGGCAGTGTTTCATTCTGCTGTGCAACAACATGATTCAAATGCATCCATTCTTCTATGGTCTTCCTTATTCATTATCCAACTTTCACATACATATGAGGCTATTGGAAATACCGTGGCTTAGGTCAGGTGCACCTTAGTCCACAAACTGGTATCTTTGTTCTTTAAAAATTTAAAGCACTCATTTGAAGCAGATTTGCTCAAATGCAATATGTTCTTTGTTATCTTGACGTCTTCCACGAATGTTGATTATAAGTTCAAGCAAAATGAAATCATTGACAACTTCAATCTTTCCTGTATTTATTATGATGTTATTGGTTCAGTTGTGAGGGTTACAGTCAGCCCCTGACTTTGTTGGACGAGTATATTGCGCTTCTCCACCATTTCTTCCTAAAGATGTAGTCAATTTTATTTCTGTGTATTCCAGCTAGTGAGGTCCATGTGTATAGTAATCTTTTATGTTGTTTAAAAATTGTATTTGCAATAAATAAGTTGTTGGTCTTACAAAATTCTATCACATGATCTCCAGCATCAATTATATCACAAAGGCCATATTTTTGAACTAATGATCTTTTTTGTTTCCAACATTCGCATTTCAATAATCAGTAATTATCAGTGAATCTTTATTGCATGCTTGATCAATTTCAGATGGAAGAAGTTAAATTTTTTCATAACTGTCTTTAGTAGTTGGTGTGTAAATTCGCATCATTGTGGTATTAACTGATCTTCCTTGTTGGTGTATGGATGTTATCCTATCACAGACAGCATTGTACTTCAAGGTAGATCTTGAAACACTCTTTTTGTCAATGAATGGGACATCATTCCTTTTAATTTGTCATTCCTGGCATATTAAATCATATGACTGTCAGATTCAAAATGGCCAATATCAGTCCATTTCAGCTCACTAATGCCTAAGATAGTGATCTGAATGTTTAGCCACTGAAAACCTTATGGATAAAAGATTAAAGTTGTCAAAGACTTCATTTTGCTTGGATCCACTATAGACATTCATGGAAGCAGTTGTCAAGAAATCAAATGATGCATTGCATTGGAGAAATCTGCAGCAGAGGTCATCTTTCATATTTTGGACATATTATGTGGCGGGACTAGTCCCTGGCGAAGTACTTCATGCTTAGTAAAGTGGAGGGTCAGCGAAAAGATCCCCAATGAGATGGATTGGTACAGTGGCAGTACCAATGTGCTCAAGTGTAACGATGATTGTGAGGATGGTACAGACCTAGGCAGTATTTTGTTCTGTTGTTTGTATGGTCACTATGAGTCTGAACTAATTTGACAGCACCTAATAACAACAGCCCATATTACTTTTCCCCCATGTTATTTTAAGCAAATTTGCAACAAACTATAATTTCATCTTTAATATTTCTGTACATGTTTAAAAAAGATTCTTAAAAACATAACAACTATAATAACTTCATCTAATGTGGCATCAGGATTAGAAGAAAATTCTAACAATCTGTAATATGCAGATGACACAACCTTACTTGGTGAAAGGGAAAAGTTCTTGAAGCACTAATGAAGATCAAAGATTCCAGCCTTCATTATGAATTACACCTCAATGTATAGAAAACAACAAATGCTGGCAGGGGTGTGGCAAGACAGGGACCCTCCGACACTGTGGATGGGACTATAAAATGGTACAACCACTGTGGAAAATGGTATGACGCTTTCTAAAAAGGTTGGAAATAGAAATATCGTATGACCCAGAAATCCATCTACTTGATATATATAAGAAACAAGAGTCATGACATGAATAGATATATGCATAGCCATGTTCATTGCAGTACTAGTCACAATAGTAAAAAGATGGAGATAGCCTAAATGCCCCTCAACAGAAGAATGGTCAAACAAATTTTGGTGTATACACACAATGGAATACTATGCAACACTGAAAAATAATGATGAATCTGCAAAACACCTCATAACATGCTGTTAGGTGCTGTCAAGTTGGTTCTGACTCATAGTGACCTTATGCACAACAGAATACAACATTGCCTGGTCCTGGGCCAGCCTCACAATCTTTGTTAAGCTTGAGCCCATTGCTAATGCTCATGGAGGACATTAGGCTAAGTGAAATTAGTCAATCACAAAAGGACAAACATTGTATGAGACCACTGTTGTCAAAAGTTAAGAAAACATTTTATTGATAAAAGTAACTTTCTATGATGGTTACCAGGGCAGAAGGGAAAGGAAAATTATTCACTTGGTAGGTAGACAGACACATGTCAACTTGAGTCAAAGGGAAGGCAATATATAACAAAAAGGGAGGTTGGCACAGGAAAGATGAAGATAGTGGTACACACAGGGAGCATACAAGAGTTAAAATGAATAGAAGTAAATACTGTTAACTGATTGTACATGGAAGGGATTACAATCGTTGTGATGCCATGAAATGTGTGATCTGTTCTGTAAACCTTCACTTAATTTGTAATAAAAAGTTAAAAAAAGTCACTAAAAAAAAAAAAGACCTCTTTAAAGTGTTAAAAAGTAAAGATATACCTGAAGACTAAGTTGTGCCTGATCCCACCCAAAATCTACTGATGTTCAGTGGATTCCAACTCATAGCCACTCTATCTATATAGGGTTTCCAAGACTGTAAATCTTTATTGGAGCAGACAGCCTATCTTTCTCCCTCTGAATAGTTAGTGGGTTTGAACAGTCAACCTTGGCGTTAGCAGTCCAAATCTGTTCCCATAGCACTACCAGCGCTCTTTGTGCCTGACTCAAGCTATGGGATTTTCAATGGCTTCATATGCATGGAAAAATGGACAGTGAATAAGGAAGATAGAAGAAGTGATGTATTTGAATTAAAGTATTGGAAAAGAACATTGACTATACCACGGACTTGCAAAAGAACAATTATGAATCTTTGCTGTGTTTAGTAAAAAGAAATAGAACACCATTCATTTTCCAGGCTTTTATAGGTGTTGGAGACAAAGTTAAATAAGGCACAGGTTGAATTTAGCTGGGAAGGTTATTGAGGTTATGGAAATATGTAATTAGACAGCACTTAGATTTCGCAGCACTGTGCCGCACAAAATTACCAAATTCAAAATTCGCAGTCAGAGATTACAGGGTAACCTGCATGCTCCGCCTTTGGCTTGGCCCAAAGCAGCTTCACCCCTCCCTCGGCCCCGCCCACAGCCTCGAGCCCCACCCACAGAAGTGACGCCACTCCCTCGGTTTCTGCCGCAGACCCAATACTCCCGCCCCTTTCCAGTCCACAGCTGTGGCGCCCAACCAGCACGCAGGAATGCTGCGCCCCGGGGGCGGGGTCGGTGGTGGCCACTCACGGCCCTTTACGTGCCGTAGCGTCAGTGACAGACCGCGTCAGTGACAGGCTGAATTTCTGCAGACAGCTCGTTCCTTCGTCGCTGTCCGAAGTTCCGGCGTTGCTGCGCAGCTGCGTGAGAATTTCCGCAGCACGGGTTTAGGCCTGCGAGCGCCATGGCCGCGGCCGGAGGGCCAGTAACGGCCGGACGCTGCCGTCTCCTCAGCTTCCTTTTCCTTCTGTTGATTTCTGGCCCTGCTCTGGGCTGGAACGACCCAGGTGAGTGCTGTTGGGGTCCGCAGGCGCCTCACTTGCCCTTTCTTGCCGGCGCTGGGAGGCCCCACGGGCGATCATTGCCGTTCGTGGCCCATGAGCCTTTCTTACCACATTGCTATTTTCATCCTTTTCGCTATTCATTTGTGCCCTGCCGGACCCCTTTGGGACTCGCAGAAACGGTTGGAGAGTGGGCGGGGCGGGACGACGCTTGCTCTTAAAGTCCCCTTACTCTCTTTCTGGGCTCGCAGAAATTTGCCCACCGTCTTTCCTGGGCTACAGTCCTCATTCCAGAGCCAGGTTGGAAAACTCACCTGCGCATCTTGCATTGTTATGACTGTCTGATGTCATCGTCGCTCGCTGCCTGTTGTCATGGCTGCCTGTTGCTATGGCTTGGCAGTTGCCATGCCACTGGCAGTCTCTGGCACTTTCTGAACCACACTTAGTGGACAGGTCTGCAATTCTTGTAGGTAGGTGTGCAGAATCATGTTGTTATTGTTAGATGCCATCCAGTCGGTTCCGATTCACAGCGACCGTGTCAGAACTGAAAGAAACACTGCCCAGTCCATCACTGCAGCCGCTGTGTCAATCCATGTTGTTGGGGGTCTTCCTTTTTTTCCATTGACCCTGCACTTTACTGAGAATGAAGCCCTTCTCTAGGGACTGGCCCTTCCTGATAACGTGTCCACCAAATATGTGAGATGAAGTCTCGCCACATGTCTAAGGATCATTCAGACTGCTTAATTTTGTGAACAGAGCAGAACTCAAAATGCTTCTCATTTTGTTCATTCCAGAGAAGTATGGTTGTACATTTCCTTACGCTAGGCTTTCTTACTGGCTTTTACTTTACACAATAATTAAAATATTTTTAAAACTTTGCTTATTTTGGTGATGATGATGCATAAATGATTTCTAGGGAAAGAGCTCTTTTATACTGATGTTAATAAAACATGGTCTAAAGAATTTATAGGATTCCTGGTGTTGTGCTGTAGGATCAGCACCAGACCGTGAACCACAAAGTCAGCAGTTCAAACCACCATCTGCTCCTCGGAAACCCTAGAAAGGGCTGCTATGAGTTGGAATCGACTTGATGGCTTTTGACAACAAAGAATTTGCATGGATTCAATATTCTGTTTTATATATATATATATAAAACAGAATTACAGCATATATATGTATGTTGTTGTTAGGTGCCGAACAGAATGCAACACTGCCAGTCCTGCACTCAAAATCATTGCTATGCTTGAGCCCATTGCTGCTGACACTGTGCCATCTATCTTCTTGGGGGTCTTCTTCCTTTTTGCAGACCCTCCACTTTATCAAGCATGATGCATTTCCCTAGGGACTGGTCCTTCTTGATATTATGTCCGAAGTATGATAAACAAAATCTGGCCATCTTGGCTTCTAAGGAGCATTCTTGTTGTACTTATTCCAACACAGAATGGTTTGTTGTTCTGGCAGTCCATGATATTTTTAATATTCTTCAATACCGTAACTCAAATGCATCGATTCTTCTACATTCTTCCTTATTCTTCGTCCAACTTTTACATGCATATGAGGCTATTAAAAATACCATGGCATAGGTCAGGCGCACTTTAGTCTTCAAACTGATATCTTTGTTCTTTAACGCTTTAAAGAGGTCTTTGCAGTATATTTACCTAATGCACTGTTGTTTGATTTCTTGACTGCTGCTTCCATGAAATGGAATGTTGATAGTAGATCCGAGCAAAATGAAGTCTTTGACAACTTCAATCCTTTCTCCATTTATCATGATGATATTTATTGGTACAGTGGTAAGGATTTTTGTTTTTTTTAAATTGAGGTGTAACCCATATTAAAGGCTGTAATCTTTGATCTTCATCAGTAAGTGTTTTCAGTAAGCATGTTTGTATCATCTGCATATTGCAGGTTGTTAACGAGTCTTCTTCCAATCCTGGTGCCACATTCTTCATAGAACCTAGCTTCTCGGATTATTTGCTCAGCATACAGGTTGAATAAAGGTGGTGAAAGAATACAACCTTGGTGTCATCTTCCCTTATTTTAAGCCATTCACTGTCTACTTGTTCTGTTCAAATGATGACCTCATTGTCTATGTACAAGTTTCTCATGAGCACAATTAAGTGTTCCAGAATACTTATTCTCCTCAATGTTGCCCATAGTTGTCATGATCCACACAACTGAAAGCCTTTGCATAGTCAATAAAGCACAGATAAACATCTTTCTGGTATTCTTTGCTTTCAGCCAATTTCCATCTGATGTCAGCAGTGATATCCCTTGTTCCACGTCTTTGTTTGGATCTGGCTTGGACCTCTGGCAGTTTCCTGTCAGTGTATTGTTGCAGTCATTTAAAAATTATCTTTAGCAAAATTTTACTTGTATATGATATTAATGATACTACTTGTCTGATGATTTCCACATTCCATTGAGTCACCTCTTTTCAGAATGGGCACAAATACAGATCTCTTCCAATCAGTTGGCCAGGTTGCTATCTTCCAGTTTCCTTGGCATAGATGAGTGAGTGCCTCTAGTTCTGTGTCAGTTTATTGAAAGATTTCAATTTGTATTTCATAAATTCCTGGAACCTTGTTTTTTGCCAATGCGGTTATTGCAACTTGGAGATCTCTCTCTCTTCAGTACTATAGATTCTTGATCATATGTTACCTCTCAAAATGGTTGAATGTTGACCATTTCTTTTTGATAGAGTCACTCTGTGCATTCATTCCATCTTGTTTTGATGCTTTCTACAGTCAGTATTTTGACCATAAAATCAGTGTTGTTGTTAAGAGTTGTCAGGTCACTTCTGACTCATAGCAGCCTTGTGTAGGATTTCCAAGGAGTGAATTCTTCAATATTGCAAGTTGATTTTTGACTGTTTTTTCTTTAGTTCTTTCCTGTAGATTCTCTATGTTCAGGATCAAGTTTCAGTCTTTTCTGACATCCATTTTGATCTTTCTCTCTTTCCTGTCTTTTAAATAATCTTTTGCTTTCTTCCTGTACAGTGTTCTTGATGTCATCCCACAACCCTTCTCGTCTTCAGTCATTAGTATCTAATGCATCAAATCTATTCTTGAAATGGTTCTCTAAATTCAGGTGGGATATATTCAAGGTCATATTTTGGCTCTCATGGACTTGTTTTAATTTTCTTCTGCTTCAGCCTGAACTTGCATATGAGCAATTGATGGTCTGTTCCATAGTCTGCCCCTGGCCTTGTGTTGGCTGATAATATGGAACATTTTTACCATCTCTTTCTACAGATGTAGTCAGTTTGATTTCTGTGTATTCCATCTGGTGAGGTCCATGTTTGTAGTTGCCTTTTATGCTGTTTAAATAAGTTTTTTGCAATGCATTAAGCCACTGGTCTTGCAAAATTGTGTCCTTTGATTTCCAGCATAATTTCTGCCACCACAGCCATACTTTCTGAGCAACCAGAAGAATAGACTTACCATTTCCTGATATTTGAAGTTAGAGAGAGAGTCAGGTTTAGGAGCTTTTACTTTTCTTCAGGTTAGGTTTGATATATGCAAATATATTTTGATTTATGAATATGAAGTTAATTGAACCATTCTTTCATTGATGGGCACTTCAGTTGTTTTTACAGTTTTGGTGTTGTGACTAGGGCTGCAGTGAACATGGGTGTGCATTTATCCATTCATGTCATGGCTCTTATTTCTCTAAGATGTATTCCTAGGAGTGGGATTGCTTCTGGCTCATAGTGGTATTTTTATTTTCAACATTTTAAGGAAGTACAATACTGTTTTCCACAGTGGTTGGACCATGTTATAATCTCACCAACTCTATATGAGGGTTCCAGTCTCTCCACACCCTCACCAGCATTTGTTGTTTTCTGATTTTTTTGAACTTTGCTATTAATACTGGGGTGAGATGATAACTCACTGTTTTTTTGTTTGTTTGTTTGTTTTCACTTTTAAAAATACTATTTTATTTGTACTCAATGTATGACAAAAGGCTGTATTATCTATCATGTTTATATACATACCAATACTGGAAACAGCTTAATAATGAATCACATCTAAATTTTATAAAGAACACACAAACATTGTAACACTGATTGGTTATAGATAGCAGAGTGGGGGCAAGTCCTTAGTTACAATTTGAATTTTAGGTAAAGAACAGCATCCTCTGAGAAGAATCAAATCAATTAGTAATAATCATAGATACTGTAAAATCATATATACACATAGCAAAGTTAGTGATTTACTGATTTTATTACTTTTGCTTAATTTCCTCACATTCAATGCAAATAGATAAAACATAGTATAAAGAAACATATGTTCTCATTATTATTCACAATAAAAGGGTCTACTTATTCTGCAGGCCTGGGCATATTTTACAATAGGGATCAATTAATGGTCCCAGTGGATCATTACACCATTGTGATTCTGATCCACTGAAGAGAATCCATACTTGGTGATGGAACTAAACTCCATGGGAGCTGTGATAGACAGAACCTTTCTGTGGTAGTCCCACATCTTATTAAAATAAGAGAAGACTCTAAACAAGGAAATATAACAATCAATCTGTCTAGATATTATATCTGTAGGCTCTTTTTTTAGTATATAATAGAAAAGAGGGCCTTTTCTTGAGTATACAGATACAAGTATTATTACGGTCTAGAGATTGCTGAATTGACATTTTTTCTGGTATAATGAAGGGACACACTGAGACCACTCGATTAAGAAACTTCCACAGCTTGTCTCAGTTCTTTAAATGATGGAGCAAGTTCCTTTTCTAGGCTGACAATTAGTCCTGTATTGGCACTGCTGCTGGCTATGAAACTTACCACCAAGGTAACTGATTCAATTGAACCACCTAGTAAGTGTTATAGCAACATATAATACTTTTGAGTTTTGAGAGTCCAAGTTTGCTGCCTTGGTCTGTTGCAAGGGCAAAAGTAGATAGGAAGCCAGGTCTCAAAGCATGCTCTGGAACATAATCATTGGCCACTTTAATAATAGGCACTCCATCACTTATCAGACATGATAGTA